AGCACTCTGGGGACAGGCAGCGAGGTCTGGCACCCCTGGCAGGCACCCCGGGGGTGGGTGCCTGCGGGCAGCTCACCTTGGGCGCCCAGCTCATCGGGGCAGCGGCGGATGTGGAAGCAGAAGGCGACGCGGACACTGGGGCGGGCAGTGGGGACCATGCCAGGACCAGGGGAGGACAGAGCCAGAGCAGCCAGGGACAGGATGGGACATGGGTTGGGGTTTGGGGCTAAATAAACGTGCGAGACCCAGTGGTGCAGTACCCACCCCCACAGCCACGGCCTGGCCTTTATTGCGTGTCGGCGGCTGTGCCAGGCTGGGGCTGAGCCGGGATCCCTCCCTCCAGCACCCAGCAGTCAGCAGTGAGGCAGGCGAGTGGCCCCCCGTAATCTCCCTGTGGCACCCAGAGAGTGGTGTCACCGCGGTGCCAGCGCCCACAGGCCCCCTGAGGCAGCGGTCCCTGGCCCTGCTCACCTCGCAGGCCCCCACACCGGCACGCAGAGGGGCGGTGCACAGCTCGCTCTCCTTCAGGCGCCCGCGAGTGGGTGCTGTGGGCAGGGGGATGCCATGGGTGGGGGAACACAGCATGCTAGGTGACACCTTTGCAGGGGAAGTGCCCTCACAGGGGATATTGTGGGCAGGGTATGTCGTGGGCAAGGGAATGGCACAGGCAGGAGGATGCCATGGGCAGGGAATGTCATGGGCAGCAAAATACCATAAAAGGGGGATGCTGTGAGCAGGGGATGCCATGGACATGGGGGGTCTGCATGCAGGGGATGCCATGGGGCAGGGGATGCAGCAGCTATGGGGACGCTGTGGGCAGAGGGATGCCATTGCAGGAGAATGGTGTGGGCAGGGGATGTGCTGGGCAGGGGATGCCATTGCAGGGGGTACCTCTGGTTTCCCCCCAGCCGGCGATCTCGCAGATGGTGCCCGTGGGCACAACATAGCGCTCAGGCGGCAGGCAGATCAGGGCCACGCGCCTGTTCAGAGTGGCTGGCCTAGGGCGAGAGGAGGGGCAGCCTGTGGTGCCAGTCTGCCCAGCAGCAGGGCACAGCGGGGGCTGGGGCTCAGCTGCTCACCTTGCCAGCTTCAGCATCACCAGCTGGGACTCAGAGGGGCCGCAGACTATCCGTGAGATAGGGATGGTCTGCTGGTCAGGGTCCTCTGGACCAGGGTCCTTGAAGAGTGTCCCCAGCTGCACCTCGTAGCCTGCCAAGTTGGCGTCGCTGCGGGACAGGGACATGAGGGTGTGGGGGGCTCCCGGCACTCCGCGCCCCAGCCCCAGCCTTACCAGGATGAGAAGCACTGGCGTGTGCTGATCACCCACTGCTCCTTCACCAGAGACCCCCCGCAGAAGTGTGCACCAGCCCTGCAGGGATGGGGGTGTGAGCTCCCCTGGGGACACTGGCCACACGGCAGCGCAGGCAGGGCATGCGCTCACCGGTTGCGGATGCTGACAGTCCAGGGTGAGTTGCCGGGCTGGCCACCGACGATGCGCCCTTTCCGCTGCAGCCTCTCGTCCCGCCGGCCGCACTGCTCGAATGCCACCATGTCTGTGAGTAGGGTGGGTGTCAGCCAGAGCTGTGCCACCGGCACCCACCCCACAGCGCCCACCCGGCACCCATGGGCCCCCACCTGCATTCTCCAGGATGGAGGGCACTGTGCTGCCAGCTGTGGAGAGAAAGCAGAGGGTGGCATTGGGGTGGGACCAGTCACCCTGGGGGGACCAAAACCACCCCTGGGGGGTGGCAGGAGACCTCCCTAGCTCTGCAGGGTTGAGGGTAGGGGCTCACAGCAAGGCTTGACAGCGCAGTAATCGAAGGGAGTTCGGGGGTCCATGGTGTAGCACCAGGGGCCATGGCTGTCGTTATCGGGGTTGCGACAGTAGTTCTCTTCCAGATGTGCCTCAGGGTGGGTGACGGGCGAGATCCTGCCAGGAGGAAGTCACCATCACCATCATCATCATCATCCCCAGCTCCATCCCCAACCTGCCCCCATCTTGATCCCTGTCCCTGTCCCCGTCCCCCATGCT